CCGCCCCCCCCCCGGAGAGGTCTGAAAAACGTTTCGTTGGGCAGGTGTCGGAAAATGTTTTTCGTGCACCCTTGTGACAACGCGCCAGAGTTGACGCCACAAGAGTACCACCAGTATATGGTATCTCACCGTGGTTGGGACGATACCAGTCATCCGCGGAACGCTTGCTCGAAATGTTTGTCCATTGCAGGAACATAGAGTGTATACATGTATGGCAGTTGTGCTGTCCCCCCCCACCCCGGGGTACACGGAAAAAGACCCCTTGCCCCCCCCATCAGTGTTTGCCATCGGGATTGGGTTTTCGTAGCTTGGCAACGACGTTATAAAACGAGCAAATTCACTTTGTGAGCTCGGCAACCAGAATACCGTTTTTTTTTTTACCTCTGTTTTTTTCCGGTAACCATAATGGTGGTCGAGTAGATCATGTTGTGAGGGGTCGAGAACCCTCACTCCGCGCAAGGGGGATGATAGCACCACGTTGTGTTAAATGGTCAAGCATCCTCGAGGCAGTTACACAGTGCTCATAGCTGTCTATGGCAGTGAAAGCACCAGAAAATATATTAAGTAATACGCAGCTGTCATCCGTACGCAAGAAAGTAAGCACAAGATGCCGAACACCCTTAGCAGGATGCAGCGCACCCTTCATGCGACTCGCCGAATACCTCACGGCGCTTCGCGCTTGGTGATGTGAGAGCCTGGTCCGGTGAGAACCCGGCGTGCTCCGTCCCGGCTTTGTAGGGATGCGAGGTAAAGGGTCTAACGACTACGGCATGCACGACTATGAGTACCCCCCCCTTGTTAAAATTTCGCCCCGGGGGAACACAATTTCAGACGCAAAGTTAATCTCCTCCCCGGGGGTACGGCACCGTCGATTTAGGTATTCTCCCAATCTCAATAGCTTGAGGGTACAGAAGTTCCGCCTCGGCATACTTGTCCTGGAAGGTGAAAGAAAAACATTCTGCCAGTACGGTCAAGGCGAGAAGAACTCATTGCGGATGCGCACACGTTCAACAACCCCGACTGAGGGACTGGGCCACATCGGGCTGCTCTTGCTGTAGCGCCTTCTCTCATTCTGACTGTGGCCGTTCATGGTGGTTCGGCATTGTCGTAGAACCGTTATTGGGCTCTCACCTGAGCTTGCAACAACCCCGCCCGGTTGATAAGCGACCGGGCCACATCGGCGTGCTCCGGACCCAGGGCCTTCTCTCGAATGGCCAGTGATCGTTCAAAAAGTGGCTCGGCCTCCTCATACTTGCCCTGGTATGTGATCGGAGAGGAAAGAGCGAAATTCACTTGGTGACGCTGTGTGTGCCAAGAAACCATAGCCAACAACCCTTCCGGATTGGTGAGCCCGTGTGGCAAAAGCTGGGTGGTCAGGGCCCAACTATGGTTTCTCCAACCTCAATAGATCCTTGGTACAGAGGACCCGCCTCGGGATATGTGCCCTGGAAGGGGAACGAACAGCGTCACACCAGTGTGGTCAACGAGAGCAAAGCATGCTGCGGACGGACACACGCAACCCCGCCATGTTGTTGAGCGACTGCGCCACGTCGGCGTGCTCCTGACCTAGCGCGTGCTCTCATATTTACTGCGACCTTCACAACATGCCTCGGCCTTGTCGTGCTTGCTCTGTTCATGAATTAGAGAGCTTATGTCAGGTCGTGGTCCACCGAAAATGGAATTTCTCCACCGACCAAATATGGACCCTAGAATGCTCACATGCAGGTTCGTCGGAGGCAGTAGCCTGGGACTGGACATAAGTGTAGCTTCGCCACCAACAAACGAGATCCTACCAAAATTGTTGGAAAATTCGAAAAATCTGATGTCGCTCACCTGACTCTGTAATAGTCCAGCCCGGTTGTTGAGGCCTGTAGCGACGGCCGGGTGGTCAGGACCGTAAACCTTCTCACGGATAGCCAGCGACCGGACGTACAGAGGCGCTGCCTCCTCATACTTGCCCTGGAATGTGACGGGAAAGGAAAGAGCGAGACTCATTTGGTGAAGCTGTATGCGCTCAGGAACTAGCCAATAACCCCGCCGGGTTGGTGAGCCATGTGGCAATAGCGGGGTGTTCAAGGCCCAACGGTGGCGTCTCCAATCTCAATAGCTCGAACATATGGAGTGTCCGCTTCAACATACTTGCCCTAGAAGAGAAAAAAAATGCGTTTTGGCAGTGTGGTCAAGGAGTGAACTTATCAATGCGGACGGGCACACGCCCATCACCTTGACGCGGTTATTGAGCGACCAGGCCACATCGAGGTGCTCTTGCGCTATTTACCTCATTTTCGCGTATTGACTCTGATAGTTCAGGACGTGGCTCGGCCTCGTCCTACCAATCCTGTGAGTGGTCACCAGAGAGTTGTTGTAATGGTGTGGTGCACCAAAAAAACATTTCTTCACCGACCAAATGTGGACCCCAGAAATGCTCACATCTAGGATCTCCGGGTCCAGGGCCTTCTATCCTAACTCACCATGTGCACTACTCATAGACATGAAGTAACGATTCACCAACAAGTGTGGACCCTACGATTGGTTCTACAGGGTAAAACATTTCTGATGGCTCTCACCTGACACTTCAACAGCCCCGCCCAGTTGTTGAGGCCTACAGCGACGTCCGGATGGTCGGGACCTACACCTTTCTCACGGATAGACAGCGACCGAACGCACAGATCCGTAGCCTCCTTGTACATGCCCTGGAATATGACCGGAAAGGAAAGAGCGAGACACGTTTCACATTTGATTGTGACCGTTTAAAACGTGGCTCGGCCTCGTCATGCTTGCGCATATAATGATCACCAGAGAGTTGGAATAATGGGATGGTCCACCACAAACGAAAATTCTTCAACGACCACTTGTGGACCCTAGAATCACTCACATCTGGATTGTCCGGGCGCAGGGCCTTCTCTGCCATACGCAACCTGTGGTTGCTCATAGAGAACATTTGGTATCAAAAAGCGATTCGCCAAAAAGTGTAGACCCTATGTAAAACAAATGCTGGAATATTCGAAAATTATGTTGACTCTCGCCTGCCTCTTCAATACCCCTGCCCAGTTGTTGAGGCCAATAGCGACGGCCGGGTGGTCAGGACCGTACAACTTCTCATACGTAGCCAGCGACCGAACGCACAGAGCCTTGGCCTCGTCGTACTTGGCCTGGAATGTGACGGCAAAGGGAAGAGCTAGATTGGTGTGGTGATGCCATATGTTCTCAGGAATCCGAGCCCACAACTCCGCTGGGTTGGTGAGGCGTGTGGCGAGAGCTGGGTGGCCAGTGCCCAACGATGGTTTCTTCAATCCCGACAGCTTGAAGGTACAGAGGATCCGCCTCGGTATACATTCCCTTGTTTCCAGAAAGTCTCCACCGAGACCACACGAAACCCTGTGTATAGCGAAATACTCCCCAACGTGCTTTGCAACCGAAAGACGAGGAGAGGTACAAGCACGCTCTCCGAGGAAGCACTGCTGTGAATGCATGTGGTTAATTGGGTCTGGATCGGCTCGTGCGCTGAAGGAGGGGCACGTGAAAGGAGCGGTTTGATGCGGCACGCCCAAATCATGAAGGGCGAGCAGCACGGTACAGCACAGGTGTGACAGATTGGTACCACCAGTAACGAAAATGGTGCAAGTACATACGGATATAACCGCATCGACACCCAACTTCAACTAACACGCGAGATTCAATATTTTTGCGACGTACACAGCATCATGGTGCATTTTGTGTGCCTGTCTACGCTAGTGTGGGGCGACAGACAGGAGGGAGACGATAACGACAGGCGGTTGATGGGAGCACAATAGTCGGCCCGAGAGAGTCAGGTCGCTCACCGCAGGGTGATCGCCGTGATGGTTTGCTACTGCGAGCTACCAGTTCAAGCTTGCGCTCAAAATATGGTGAGTTACGCGTACACACGTGGGAGACACTCTCAGCAACAAACAATATCTCGAAAATGGTCCTTACGATCAAGTATACTGTGTCGCACACAGGATATTGGCAGCATGCCGATTATGTTGCTCATCCGCAACGGGTTGCAAAACGTTTTAGGATCAAATGGTATTTCGACGAACGCCATCACTCACGATTTCAGTATTCCCCTAAGCAACAGCATGGGGAAAATGCTTTGACCCTATTTTCATGAACCAAGTATCACACACGGTAACGAATGTCGCAGTCTCCAGGCCGAGATCCCCAGGGCCATACGCCACCAAGCTTGTGTGGTGGTCGAACTGAATTGCTTTTGCCTTACCTTTTCGCTCAGAATATGGGCGAGTCTTGCCCTGACTGCGTTTGCGCTGACCAACGCCCGTCTCGAGTCCTTGCTATCGTCATCCTCAAACTCCCGTGCTTTGTGCTCGGCATCCCTAAGTTTCTGGAAGGTGAGTGTTGTAAGGACCACAAGCGGCAAGCATGTGTCATAAGACTGCACACAGAGTGAATAATTATGTTTGGTTCGTTGAGGCTCGTCGGGTTCTTCGAGTCGAAATACGTCAGCTGCGTGGGCTGTTGGGCTTGGGAAACGTCACAACTGGCAGTTGGCAGCCAGCTGTGGGCTGGTCCTGCTGCCTGCTCTATTTTCATCCTGTATCACCCTGTGTGTGCTCTACTGAGCCCACTCCACAGGGATCACTTGCATGTTATGGATATACTACTCAAGAGGTGCTCCAACGCAGAAAAATTGTGCAAACACAAGGAAAGACCTCTTAACTATATCTCTCACAGCTACCTCTCGGAAGCTCGTCTCCGCCAGATCGTACTGCCCAGCATCGAGCTGTAGGTCCTGTAGAAGGTACCCGGTTCCACGCCAGTTCTCCCCAGCCAGGCGCATCATCTCCTTCGTAACCTCGGGGGACAGATTCTTGATCAGGTGTTCACCGTCTATTTCGGTAGTTACGTTCAGCTCCCTCGCCCACTCGTATACGGCGTGCTGGCCGCCTTTCAATGCGAAGAACTCGCGGAGGTGCAGCTGAATCTCACACAAGTGCTCCTTCACGACGGGGTTCAGCTTCACATCCCGATACCCGCTAGGCATCCAGTCGGAGTTGAAGCCGTTTTTTACACGCAGAACATTTTGCTAAATGAGCCGGTTCACAAGGGGAGCAGAAAACAGGTTGTCATGAATTGTATTTTGTTGACTGTTGTCAAGGATCATCCCCTACTGGTCTTGGGGAAGTTCACTCCTTGGGTACAACTTGTTGATAATAATAGCCCGGGTGTAGCACCCCCGCCTCCCTGAAGCCCTTTTCCTTTCGTTCCCGGGGAGGGGAGTATACGGTATGTATGGGTGGGGTGGAGGATGATAGGACTTGGTAGATCAAGCAAGAAGGAAGTAAACAAGCCATTTCCCGTGTTTGGCTTAAAAAGCGTTCGCACGATGAACAGACACGGGTCCGCCGGCCGTGACTATGGTATCCATGAGCGCCAGGATTTGAGCAGGATCGCAAAGAAAGGTCACTTTGTGACGGGCATAGACGGGGATCCGCAACCAATCGAAATTTGTCCGGTTGACAAAGAAACATACACAAAAAATGACCGAGGGCAGTCCGGATGGGTTAGCCGGCGGCGTGAATTCAATATATGGTGGAATGTCTTTGTTGATCGCCCCACATCATGCCTGCAGCACGTCGAATACCGCAAACAAACGGCGAACCGCTAAAGAAACCAAAACCCAGAAATACAGGCGGAAAAGGCAGTCGCCCAGAAGACGAAAGCAGCACGAAAACGTAGGGGCCTGGGCTAGATACCTAAAGACAGGATTGGGTCTGCGTAACTATTGAAACGCCGTGGAGACGAGCGCGATTACACGTCTTGTCGCCAGAGGCCGTGCTGGACGCAAAGAAGCGGCTCGCTCGTTGTTCGGGTTAACGTCTCATTTTGTCGGCGCGGCAGTGCTTTGTCAGGACTTGACGCGAAAAGGAAAAGGAGAGCCGCGAAGGCGACAAGCCGGGTGTACATGATGCCTGCAATCTTGAGTGTGTGTGGAAGCAGGAAGTCAACACGTCAACGCGTCTGAGCTGTACGGTCACCATGGTTGGCAGTGCTGCGTATGCAATCCGTGAACACAGCAGTACTACAGAAATCATGGTTGGCAGTCGTCATCACACTACAGTTTACAGTTGCTGGCTGCAATCATCTGTAATTGGAACATTGGAAAGGACCGGTATATCCAGGCACGTGCGTGCGGTCCACAGTCTGGAAGGAGACCAAAACATGTGCAACCTTGTGCAATCTTTAACGGCGCAGCGCTTAACGGCGCAATTGCCCTGCATGTATGTGGAGTGTCTACTGCAGGAAGTCGTCCTGGGTACATTTGTGTTCCGGCGCGTGTGTGTTATGATATGTTGTGCGTCCAGTATTGCCGACCGTGTGTACGGCAGTGATATGTATGATGCCTGGACGTTTTCCCGTAAATTCCGACTTGGGTGTGGTCCAACAGCTGCAGTTGTCTGGAAGGATACCAAGAAGGTGCACAAGTTAACTTGTTCAACTTTTTGTACTCACTGCTTGGTGCACATTCCCGAGGGGGTTGGAGTGGTTGCGAGACCAGCTGCCTTGTGAGCACTGCCTTGTCACACGCATTGTGAGCACTGCCCACGAATTGGTCTCGGGAGCTGTATCCAACGCATTCGATTGCGGAAAAACGGCATGTATGTCTTAGAAAACGGCGCAGCGAAACGGGTTGCCCTGCATGTATGTGTCGTCGTGTGGGGTGCGGCGTATTTGATGACCTGTGGGGGTATAAAAGATAAGAGAGAGTGTGCGTATCGGTTGTTCGCACGGGGGAGATCTACGATTAAGACATATAACACCGGACGTCTTCTCAAAAACTGACACAGCTGTCGCACCAAACTTGCAGGAGGGGCGGATGGGGCCAGGAGGGACACCTTTTCCAAACCACAGAAACAATTGTCAATGAAATCTCGAGAAGCATCGACCGAAGAAAAGAAAATTGCTTTTAGAGAAGGAACCGGAGAATGACCACTCTAAAACCAGGTGAAAACAGGAGGGCGGGGTCGGATTTTCGGGGACCGATTTATTGGGACGGAAAAGTGGGGTCAATTTCGAATATCGGTGTGAGAATTTCGGCAACAGACACCGAATCCCTATCGGGCTTCAGAATATGGAGATTGGGTATTGCTCTCATCCATGGGAGGTGAGAAACAATGTTGCGTAAGTGGCTTTGAGGATAACACCATTCATTTTTTTCGATATGGTCTCAGGACGCTTCGAGGTAGAGCCTCCCATGACAGGTTTCCATTCAAAAAAGTGGGGGTGATTGGTCTAATCATGTTTTTGAGCTGCTGACGAGCGCACACAAGACACCTCACGGCGAGCTTGTGTCGCACAGGCGCCCAAATTGTTGAGCATACCAACACTCGCAAGGAGCTCGAGCACACCGAGGAGTCTAACCTCGTCTACCCACGCTTAACCTCCGGGCTGGTTCATCAGCATTCCGTGTGCCCGCTACACCACCAGGGGTTGCTTTTGATGTCACTGAGGATGTGCAGCCCTACCGAGGCCACGTTGGCAACATCGATTTCAATGCGTGTCTGGGAAATACCCCGCAGCAATCAGTATTCTATTTCATGGCCTATGCGCTCAGCATCATCGCGTATAGCGGCTCCAATAAATAGTGGTGGCGGCTTCGTTGGGAGCAACTACAGCAATAAATGTTGGAGGTACGCATGGGGCACTAAACTCAGCTGCGCTAGGGGCGCATTGGGTCGATCTCCAACCATGCATCTATGCATTGGTTCAGCGGAAGTCTCGGGTGCCATCCTTCGTTACTTTATTTCTCGGAATGTGAGACCCTTTCCCGCAGGTATCTTTGGAGGTTGGGAATCGATTGACAACGCCTGCTGCGATACTTCTCATCAACGTGGAGAACGAGCAGTCGCTCTTGGAGGATCGGAGTTGTTTGGTGCCGCTAGTCATATGGGGGGATCGGGAAAAAGAAAGGTCCGGTCTCGCCAATAGCTGGGAGTACGATTGCTGGGGAAAACCTCACCACGACCAAATAAAACAACATTATGGTTAACAACGTTAGGATTGCAGAGCAAAACAAACCTGAAGGAAAAAAAAAACAACGATCCTACTTGTGCGTAAAACGAAGCAAGCACAACAAGACCCTTGTGATTTTCCAAAGTTGCCTCGAGCATCGATTTCGCAACAAACAGCACATGAACGAGTACGGCATGATTCCACAATTGCGGGTTGACGGGAAATCTGCAGTCCTACTCGCCTTGGGCAATGCCATGATGATAGCCAAGTACGCCTCTTCCAGGGCCTCCGGTGTGGCGCAGATCACAGTCACCCTAGCCATGTCAGCAACCTTTCGGACGCCCCCATCACAGAACCTGCTGGCCTTCCGTCGCGTACTTTCCCGAGACTTGACGTCCACGCATTGAACCTCGTACTTGCTCGAGTCGCGTGCAACCTTCGCAACCAGCTCGTCCAAACGCGGCTTTGCAAGCTCAGCCTCTGCAAGATAGAAATGTAGCTGTCGTTCAAGTTTCTCGTCCTCGCCGTAGTCCTGTACATCCAAGATCTTGGGCTGGAAGAGCCCCTTCGCCCGAACCGGGGCGATGCTGCGAAGGCAATGAAGTCCTCCTGTCTTGTTGAGCTCGTAGTACAAATCGTCGTACTCTGCTTCAAACTGCTTTACCGTCTGTACTTGAAGGTACTTGAGAATATTCACTTTGGCATCTAGACTAATAGGTGATGTTTCACGTTCACGTGAGGTCTTCAGCTCGGCCTCCAGACGGAGGAGCTCGTTGATGTCGACGGCCATCTGCGGCACAGCACAAGCAATGGAACCCACACGGGGTTGGGCGGCGTAAGCCGCCACGCTCATCAGTGCAATGCCCAGAAAAGTGTCAAACCGCGGCTCACGTTATTATGCATGCGCGTAACTGTAGGAAAGACTCCCTCCAATGAGAGTGATGTGTGTGTCGAAGGGAGAGAGAACTTTTCCTTACGTGGGAGTGAAGACGGTGTTTGGGATACGTGAGGAAAGTCGGTCTTCCTGCGGCGCTGGGAGGGAACGAATGCCCGTATTCGACGATGTATGACGGTGCCCCTTGGTCCAGGATGAAGAAGTCAGAAAGGTGGTAAAAACATTCGCTCTGCGGACGTTGACCAACACAACTGAGATGATGGCCTCTCGCGTGGAGAACCAAGACGCAGAAAAGCACCGGAAATGGTTTGGTCCAGTGGCGAGCGAAAACAGAACTTTCGCTCGCCAAGAAGACGGAGAAAGAAACTGATAGTTCGTACTCGCATGGAACAAGCCAAGATGTACAAAGCACAAACTGGAAATGCTCCACTCGCGAAAGGAGACAAAAACCCCTGACATGCCGTAGCCATGGCCCATCAGTATATGACAGAAAATCTAATGTAGCTGAGATGGTAACATTGATCCGTTGCACGCACACAAAATGAAATCAGTCCATATGATGCGCGCGTGCGACTGTACGCTTGGTCGATACGAAGAGCCACCGGGACACAACTGTGGTCCACGGTGTGAAAGACATAGAGAGAGAGCACGAGACCTCAAGGTGACTGATTCCACGCGGACTAACCCGAAGATGTTATTGCCGGTGGTATCGAGCTGCGCACGATGGTTGCACACGGGCCGTGTGCAACCACGGCCCGTGTGATTTGAGTACGTGAGTGAGATCCCGCTTCCTTGTATGCTGCGTGTAAGTTCCTCTGCGTGTTTTGTGCTCGTGTTTCTGAATCTTGCGTACAAGTGCAGACAGCACGGAGCAACGAGCGGAGCGGAGCAAGAGAATGGCAAAAGAAAGCAAACGGCAGACGGCAGACGGCAGACGGCAGAGGAGCGACTGGCTGGCTTTGCGGATACTGCCGTTAGGCGTTCTGTGTGAAACCAGCACCCGACATACAAACGGATAACACCGGACCGTGATTGTTCATACGTGTGTTGGATTACCTGTTGAGATTGTTTTGGAGATGCAATGGTAGGTCTATTACCGCACATACTTCCTCTGTCTCATAAGTCTGGGTTTTTTTTTTTTTTTTGTCTTCACTTGAAATCAGCGCTCACAGCACTAGGGCCGTTTACTCCAACCCGTGGTCACACAGAAGAGCCCCTCTCTACCCTCCCCTCCTGCGGTACTTTGCCTTCGATTTTTAATGCGAGAAGAGCTCAGCACTCTATTGCCTCTGTGTACACACGAATATCGCTACCCACTAGGCCAGGAGCGGAAGCGAGAGAAAAACTCACTTTGCAAGAAAAGCTCGCTTGCTCCGGGGTTCTAACCCCTGACCTGACCTCTAGAAGGTTTCGAGGATACCAACTATAATAGACCACCGGGGCGACCATGTTGGGAGAGAACGTTAACGGTCTCGGATGTCTTCGGCGATAATTTTTTCGAAATCTTGAGCGTTTTTTGGGTTGAACCACATTTATTTATTTTTCCCTGCATGGGCCAGCGGCAAATAAAAAAAGTAGTCAGGCCGAAAATGGCTGTATTTGACCCCTTTCCAGAGGGGGCGGGGGTGGGGCACGATGGAAAATAAAGCTAGAAACCCCCAAATTTATCTCCAACCCTCAACCTAGCCCCTCACTCCATGTCGCTTCCCCCTACACTAAAACCAGTACAATATTGACCCCACACTAAAACCAAGACACTTGTAGAATGTAAAATACAACTGTGACCCCACGGGATTGATAAACACAAATTCCGATGGAAATTCTCAAAAAATTCCCATTAATATTCCCAAAACAAATTCTCAGAAAAGGGCCAAAATGGGCATATTTTGACTTCATTTTAGTATAAACAACTAAATTTTAGTTTTTTTGCATCAGCTTCGTTTGCGCTTCATCTTTCCAACAAACCCAACCATAGGATGATCGGAGTAGTGTGCATACGCGAACAATTAAAAGTCCGTAAGTTCCCAGACTTATGAGACAGAGGAAGTACACTAGTGTTCAGCAGGTCTCACGTGTACGGTGAACATTGGAGTCAGAAGGGGGGCAACTATTTGGACGGTTTCAGTTTCTGTTGCCACTAAAAACAAGTGTGTCTCAAAACCATCTTGGGCAAACGCTTTCGCCGCGACTCAGTTGGGTTGAGACTAGGCCGCCTGCTCCGAAACCAAGTCATGTTGCTGAGTATGCGCTCTCTCGCAATACATACGATTTTCAGGTGGGACGACCGTAGCTGCCGTAAGCGTGCACCCCTTCGTGCAGATCTGCTTCCAACATCGTCCAGCGGATATTGAGAAAACAGCGCCTGTTGGTAGGCCTCTTGGCAACCAAATTAAAAACTCTTCTCTTCGACTTCGCACCCTCGCCATTAACAAACCGGAGCCCAGAACACAGCCGAACTCAACACGCACAAATCTCGATCAAAGCGTGCCCGCGGCAGGACTTCATGGGTTAAAAAGGACCCTTTTGGGGGGGGGTCTCTCGCAGGAAAGACTAACGTTTCGAGCAGGCGGGGGAAGCCAAGGCTCTGCAATGATAAAACAAAATGTGTAGGGGGACGCATCTGGCGAGCTGCAGCGTTGCGTGTCTTTTTCCCTCGGTTTCGGATCATCCAGGGATCTCCCTGAATAAAACTCCACCGAGCTCTTGACTCCTATGCATGGAGGATGGGCAAAGTAGCGAGCTACCGGAAAAGAGTGAGACAAGGTCTACTGCTGTAGCCTACGGCACTTTGTGGGTCGTGGGGTGTGTGTCGCGTTTGCACAAAAGCTCTGCCGTCACTACAAATACGTCTGTTCTTGACTCGAATGTTTAGAGGACGGGCAGAGCACTTCCGAGAATTACTGCGAGATTTGCGTGGCAAGATCTGGTCGTGTATCTACAGAATCGCCTGTCGCTGTGTGCGGGTGGTACATTTGTGTGTCGTGGTTGTACACAACACAGCAGCAGTATGCTTGGCTTGTACCCTCTTCCTCAGCTGATCATGCGATCATGCCAGGTCCTCTCATGCGGCGGCACAACAAACGCCAATGCAAGGACTGCTGTCTACCGTGGGTGACGTAAGATACCAAACCCCCTGGATCGATTTTTAAAGCTCGACTTTTCCACAGCAGAAAGAGAAGCCGTGCCAAAATGGAGGCATTGGAACCATCTCGTCGAGATCTTTCCGAAAACGCATGGTTTTAGTTTGGCATTCTCTTCTTCGTCGAGTAGTCAAGCTTTGACAATCGTTGTGGTGTTCTCGTACCCTCGTGGTTGGGAGCAGAGTTGGTCTGGGGTGTTCAACACTCTCCGGCATGGATGTATGGATGTTGGATAGATACCTTCGGAAGACGATCAGGGTGGGCGTGTGTTGGCTACACGCTCTTGTCTGCTGCCTGCTGTGTGCGTGGTGGCTATGTATTTCTTCTCAAGCCGTGCAAGTCGGGGCTACTTCCTTCTCAAGAAAGCCCGTCTCACCCTCCAATATCCCCCACGATCCCCTCTAGAATGCGGACCTGAACGGCTCGATGAGCTGGCAAGGTGATAGCGTACGGCGAACAGTGTGCCAATGCCCGTCCTTCCGTTACTGGTCTTTAGCACTTCGAACCGTGGTCCCGTAAGCTTGTGTAAGGGTGGTTCCGGCGTACCGGTTATGTACCGGAGGGCGATGTTGGCAGCTCGATGTTGGAAGGGGTGCGGAGGAATAGAGAGTTCGTGGTGTGATGAGAATGGGTTTCAGTCTAGTTCGCGAGGCGTTATTGGTTGAGATAAGAAACGGTCGACACGTTTCTGAGTGTCTGGACGAATGGACCGATCGACCAAGTAGTGTAGTTGCTGCTACAGCAGTGCTGATGTGGATGACCTAGTGCTGAGACAAGCATAGACCTAGAGTCGCGAGAGTTAGCCTGTAACATGAGAGAGTGCATATCATTGTGAAGTGCAACCAATCAGATCGTTGTTGTGTAGTAGAGGTATCACGGACCACGGACTGACGTGTGTCTGTTCGTGACGATTGTTGAAGTTGGACCGTCCGGAAGCTTGGCTCCGTTAAGCCTCGCACATGATCACTCTCACTGCTTTGCCCTCAGTTCCGAACGTCTAGAGCTGATTGCAAGAGTGCCTAGTCAGTAATAAGACACGAACCCAACGACAACCGAACACAAAGACGCTTGAACACAAGTGCCTGCACTGACAAGCTCGAGCCTGTTAGCAGAGAAGAGGCAGAACCCAGTTCTCCCCACAGTGGCGTCGTCGGCTTCAAGCTTTGTATAGCTTGCTTGTGCGTCGAGCGTTCACAGTTGCCGTCGACCGCAGTCTACCGGTCGCACGCGTTCTACGGATCGCCGCTGTCGTCACGACGTGCCGCCAGCGTACCGTCCGCAGACGAACGAAACGGGGCTGAGGCCGCAGGGAAAACGCAAACCCCCGGCGCGGGGAGCGTTCGCACGATCGCCCGAGAGGGATCGTCGCGTGAGGTCGAGGTGCAGAACGTGCGCTCGAGCGGTTCGGAGCGTCGCGCGGCCGCGATAGCCGGCGGTTCCGGCCAGACCATGGACCCTGAGGCCGGTGGCCCAGCGGGGAGTCCTCGCCCGGTGCGAGGTCGGCCCCGGTGGGAGGGCGCACTCCGTCGCCTAGGGGCAAGGGACTCAAAGGGGGGTCATTGTCGCGAGCGCGGGGTCCGGTGACCCGCTCGCAAACCCATGCTCGTCGTAAGTCGGCGCGCGCGCCTGTAACGCTCGCGTCCTATGTGCCTGTCCGCGCGGTGACCTCGCCGCCCGCGCGTGCGTCTGTGCGCCCGACCCGTCGTTCGTCTCGTGTGACCGCGTCGCGGTCGTACCTATCCGTCTGTCAGGTTCCGACGGCGAGGTGGAGCCGGTGGCCACTGCGGTCGTCGACCGGCCGCTGCCGGTGGATGTGGGCTCGTCGGGCTAGGTGAGCTCGTCGGCGGAATCCGCGGTTCGGGGTCGGCGTCGGAGGCCGACGAGGTGGCCGACGAGGTGGTGTTGGCGGTGGCCATGGCAGCCAAGGCGGCCCTGGAGGTGACGGACAGGGAGGACCCTCCGGGTGGAGGTGCCGCGGCGCTTGCGCACCAAGGTGCGGGCTACCTCGGGCAGGTGAGGTGTGTTGGGTACCGTCCCCCGCGGTAGTGGCGGTCGGTGACATGGTCGCTGGCCGGCCGGTCGCCGATCGCGAACGTCTGTTGGCCGATTTGCTCGGTGAGCGCGGGGCGCCGCCGGCGTCGTTCGAGGTGCGTGACCCGGACTTGCCGGCGACGCTCAAGTTGTTACGGGACATGAGTGACCCTGAGGTCGATTCTGACCCAGAGTGGGCTAAGTCGGTAGCGTTAGCTCGGTCTCTGGCGGAGGCGGACAAGGCGTTTGAGGCCCACCGGCTAGCAGTGTTGGAGGGTCAGTTCCCCCCCGTACACGCGGATCCGATCCCGACTATGTGCGCGCCGAGAAAACCGGCCCACGTCGGGCGCCTGTCTCGCGTGCGTCTGCGGTGCTAACTCATAATCGTCTCGCACCCCTGTCCACGTCCGGGTTGCGACAGGTGGCGGAAGGTGGGGAAGCGGAGGCCGAGCGCCCTTCCGCTGAGGAGGCGCGTGTGGAGCGCCTCCAGCAGGAACTGCAGGTCGCCAAGCAGGCGGCCATTGAGGCCAAATGAGGGGAGGCGGATGACGCTCCCGCGGCGGGGGCGGCCGAGCGGTCCGCCCGGGCGATCGGCGCGGACGCCGCTCCGTCGCGCCGCGCGCCGAAGGCCGCGCCGGCGGCGAAGTCCGGCCCGGCGAAGCTGCTGGCTAACCGCCACGTGAATTACGCAGTGTCAGTTTGAATTCACTGCTGGCAAGTTTTCTTCGGTGCCAGTTTGAGGTTAAATCTAGTCAACCTCTCAAAGAAGAAGTGTGTCATGTCAACCACATGTTCTTTTTTTCCACTTGTTGAGAAAATCACAATGTCGTCAATAAACAAGTTGCACCTGTCAAGACTAACCCTACCTAAGCTCTTTGAAGACCATCGACAAGGAACCTGGAACCTGGTGCTGGCACATACACACCCGGTTACGAGGGAGGGAAAGCGTCAAGAGCTTTCGCTACGCCCTGGATTGAAGACAGAAGAAGAAGATCGTCTACGAGAGAGAGCGGCGGATGGAGCTAATCGAAAATGAGATTTCTGAAGTTGGACCGTCCGGAAGCTTGGCTCCGTTAAGCCTCGCACACAATCACTCTCACTGCTTTGCCCTCAGTTCCGAACGTCTAGATAGAGCTGATTGTAAGAGTGCCGAGTCAGTAACAAGAAACCAACCCAACGACAACCGAACACAAAGACGCTGAACACAAGTGCCTGCACTGACAAGCTCGAGCCTGTTAAGCAGAGAAGAGGCAGAACCCAGTTCTCCCCACAGTGGTTCGTGGGGTTTCCATACAAGGATAACGCCTCGAAACCGACGGTTTCGGTTACACCTTGTTGTTGTTGTCTTCACACTAAAAACCGTTCCGATCTCTCTCTACCCAGTACCTTCATATGTCCGTACTGATCCAACACTTGACGCGGTCGATTCCCGTGGTCACAGGCTAACTTACCCTAAAAAGGAACACTCAAATAAACTGGCCCCGAGGGGTCCGTAAGTCAATAGAAATCAACGACAGATATTATTCTGGAGTCCTCCGCTCCCTCTGCGCGCTATGCGAGGTAACAACTGAGACTAGGAGTCAGCATCACGGGCCAGAGAGAAAGAGGTACACCCCCTTCGTTCAATCTTGGTGCTTCACACGCAAGCAGAGACGAGGCCATCTGACACAGAAAAAGAGAGAAGAAAGAGAGAAAAAGAGAAAAAAAAAAAAGGAAACAGGAAGGAAAGAGAAAAGAAAACGAAAAAGAGCGAGGACAAAAAGGGACCAGGCCGAAAATAACAAGAAATAAGAGACAGAAAAAGGCACAAACACGGTGGAGAGACCACTAACGAACAAGCAAACACGCAAACATGGCCACCAACCAGCGATACATGGTATTGGTACGTCATCACTAGTGGGGGGTTGGTGCAATGGTGCAGCGTTAGTTAAGGGGGGGGAATTGGCTAGAAGAAATTCAATCCGGCACGTATCACGCCACTCGGTCCGTCTCGTTTGCTTTCTTCCCTCGCCGTCTCGTCCGTCTCCTGCCCCCTCCCGTCCCATTGGTTGTTGGCTTGTGGTTTTGTTTGAGCGCTCGTTGTCGGCTGGCCTCTTCTTCCTTCTTGTGCCAGGCGGTCATGAACCTCTCAGCTCCATGCAGCACCGCCGCATGCCAGGGTACTCCCCCTTCCACCTTCGCGGCTTCCGTCCACTTTAACTCCGGTGCCGTGTCTTTCGGTACCGGGATTCCGAGACAACATGGATCGGTTTTCGTAGATCCGTGGTCGGCCCCGAATGCCTTCAGGTCGTCGAGCACACACTTTGGCCAGTTCTGTTCCGTCGCTTCTTCTCCCCCCTCGCTAGTTCGCCGAGCATCAGTCGTTTCGGGAGTCGCCCGTCCGGCTGCCTTGCCAATGCTCCCGCGAACAGTAGGCGTCGTTGTCGGATCGTGGCTTCAACGCTCTGGCATCCGACCCTCTTTAGCGTCTGGGCGTAGGAAAGCTGCCGGTAGGTGTGTGTCTTTCTTGCGCTTGTACCCAATAACTCGGAGGAGCAGTCGGTAGTGTATCGACCGCAACGTCTGGTAGTAGTGGCCGCTGAGTGGTGACCATGTCATCATGCAGCCGTACAGCAGTGCCTCCATCGCCTCCGCCTGGAGCAGGTGGATCTTGAGTCGGAATGGAGCTTTCGGTCTGTCGAAGAGCTCCCGGCCATATCGCCTGAGGCACGCCCACGCTCCTCTGCTCTTCTTCTTGTAGTTGATCTCCCGGGTGAGGTCGCCATGTTCGTTGACGACGCCACCGAGGTACCGGAACTCGGTCGTCTGGGCGTATTTCTGTCCCGCGGCTTCGATGGTCAGCGGTTGAGGCGGGGTGCGGTGTGGTGTTGTAGTAGGCTTGTCTTCCGCGCGCATCAGGAGCGTCTCCGTCTTCTTCTCCGATACCGTCAGCGCGAACTCCCCGATCACCTCAACGATGATGGTCATCATTCTCGCCAGTCCTTCTGCATCAGACCTCGATACGACGCCGGCATCGTCGGCAAATGGGATCCCCCATACCGCGCCCGCCGTACGCGGTCAAGGGGTGTATCCTCCCCCCCCCGCGCTTCCGTCTTCCCCTCCTCCAAGCACACCAGGCTCCGCAGAACAAAATCATCCTCGCTGAACCGGATGACATCGATCTCGAGGAGGACCTCGGCGAAGAAGATGATGTTGAACAACAGCAGTGGGGATAGCACACATCCTGGTCGCACGCCCCGTGTCACACGAAGAACCAGTCCGATAGTTCTCCGTCGCCCATGCGCACTCGGGCCCGCATTCCATCGTGGAATTGGCGGATGACTTTGATCAGCTTCGCGGGAATCCCGGCCCTGGCCAGCACCTTCCATAGCATCTCTCGGTCCACCTTGATTCCTGATGAAACGAAAAACAGACTCAGTGATTGTTGTAGTGCATGCAAGCGCGGTCATCGAAAAAAAGTACAACACAACTTTACATCGGCTGGGTGCTCCCATCCACCTTGTTCATTCACGAGCGGAACGCGAAACACACCGCCCTATTTTGGGTCTGGATTGGCAGTAATGACATTGTTATCATCGCAGGTGGCCGGTGGGACGGTGCAGTAGTAACCCTCACGGACGTCCAACCGGGGCCGTGGTGGCGAGACTGGCCACGAACGCGGCTGCGCCACGTTCGTGGTCCGCACGTCAGAACGTGGTCCGCACGCTGCGCGCGCTGTTTTGACCAATCACAAGTCGAGTCGTGCACGGTCTTATTTGCACTCGCGTAAAGATGGTTTCGTTGTGTCATATTAAGAAAAATATGAATCCATTGCTAATCTGTCTCAGACTCTTTTCTATGATGGAGATGGTTTCGTGGTGTCATATTAAGAAAAAAAAAAAAAATAGGGGTTGCCGACGGTGCAGCGGCGGGGCTCCGCAAAACGTTGCCGCTGAAGCATAGATAGGGGTCGATATCCCCGGGGCTCCGCGAATATAATTGCTGCGGGAGAGCGGGAGGTCGACGAGAGTGAGAGCTGCTGCTGCTCCTGCTCCTGCTTGCCGAGCTCACACATAGATACACAGGTCGTGAAGTCCACACACACGAGGCGCTTCAATCATCAGTGATCGTCAGATACCTTTCGTATTGCAGTGGGTGGGCACGAGGTTTTGCACTGGAAGGAAAGGGAAAGCAAGAGACAGCGGGCACACCCGAACGCCAACCTACGGAGTGGTCCTAGTAGGGAGGAACGAAGAATGACTGCTGGAGATGCCGAAGCCATTGAGCATGCTCTTCTGGACGCACTAAGTGCTGGAGAGAATGCAGAGGTAATGTGTGGTAGACCTAGGGATTCAATCCGCGTTAAGCACGTGCGTAGAGTTGGTCTCCTCTTGTTTGTTTTTTTAACGTAGATGAGAGCCGCACATACCCTGAACACTTGGTTCGAAGGGTGCGCGTTCCATGCATGCACTACTTCAGCAAGCACACATGCTGTACCTCCCATTGCACAGACGTCATGCAGCCCAGTGCTGAGACGTGTGGCACACCAGAGCATAGCTCCTGTCGCGTTTTGGGTCAGGAAAGTCGGTCGCTAGAATAGTCGGCAGATCTTTGAGCGAAGCAACCCGAGTTTGTGAACGTCGTTCCCCACAGCACACGGACCGGTCCCTCTGGTCGTGGATGTACATACACGATGCGCTGTCCTTTTGTGGCTACCGGGTTGCCTTGGTTGCTGAAAACCCCCGTCGCTCTCTTGTTCTGTGTCATCGTTGTGTGCATCTCCCGGGGGGTCTGGGCTGGTTGGTACGGCCCTCAGGCCCGGCTGACGCGAACCCATACAACTCAAGACGCATGTTGCTGGTGTTGGTACAGCACAGAGTTCCCGCAGCACACTTTCGTTTTTATGTGCATAGGCGTTTGCCTACTCGCTTCAGTCGGGGACAAGCATGCGCTTGGCACGACTGCACCCAAGCCCGGCGCTGCGAAGGCGAGCACGCCCTCGTCTGTGCTGTTCACGTTTTTTTACGTGCTTGCTGAAAATCGAACCGTATTGCGTTTGATACCACACCCCCGAACCGCGTTGAAAACGCTCAACTACCTCTGCAACATACTCGTAGCAGATGTGACGGTGCCAAGAATGGCGGCGTCGAAACCGTCTCGCCTAGACCTTCCGGAAAACGTATCATGTGATCCTGACATCCTATTCGTCAGGGAGTAATTGGGCTTTGAAAATCGTGCACAGGAGGGTGTCGTATCTTGAGCAATGTGCGGTGAATCCCTGCTGCTGCTGTTGCCGAGCACCACTGCTGTAACTTGTCACGCTCGTGCCGTGTGAGATGAGCTATGCATATAACACCACTGAGGTACCCGACCAGGCTTCAAGGTGAACAACCAACCTCTCGTTGTACTCTGCAGTGACAAACATGCGCTTGGATGGGCTGACTCTCTGCTGGATCAAAAGTGGCTGGATTGATGGCCACGCATCCCGCTGAAAATACACCCGTGCTTCTTCGTTCGTTCACACACGCATGGCGTTGTGTCCCATGCCCAAATAGACACGCATCAGTTACCGCACTAGACTAAAATCTCTTGTGATTTTTTCAGAGCCTTGTGCTTCCCTCCATCTCCACCTCACCCCTGCTACCCCCCCCCCCCCCCC